GACGAATGCGCTACACATGTTGGGTGTCTCTGCGTGCGTCAGAGTGGGAGCAATAATTCTATGGTCGATATTCACGGATATCTCTAAACTGATGACCTCTACAGGCTCTGAAATCATTGCCTATGGACACTTTGGGGTTTGGTACTATGGGCACTCAGTGGGCCCCCTTCTGCCCTCCATACGGGCACTCAGTGGACCCCCTTCTGTCCTCCATACGGGCACTCAGTGGGCCCCGATCTGTCCCTCATCCGGGCACTCAGTGGGCCCCGATCTGTCCCTCATCCGGGCACTCAGTGGGCCCCGATCTGTCCCTCATCCGGGCACTCAGTGGGCCCCGATCTGTCCCTCATCCGGGCACTCAGTGGGCCCCGATCTGTCCCTCATCCGGGCACTCAGTGGGCCCCGATCTGTCCCTCATCCGGGCACTCAGTGGGCCCCGATCTGTCCCTCATCCGGGCACTCAGTGGGCCCCGATCTGTCCCTCATCCGGGCACTCAGTGGGCCCCGATCTGTCCCTCATCCGGGCACTCAGTGGGCCCCGATCTGTCCCTCATCCGGGCACTCAGTGGGCCCCGATCTGTCCCTCATCCGGGCACTCAGTGGGCCCCGATCTGTCCCTCATCCGGGCACTCAGTGGGCCCCGATCTGTCCCTCATCCGGGCACTCAGTGGGCCCCGATCTGTCCCTCATCCGGGCACTCAGTGGGCCCCGATCTGTCCCTCATCCGGGCACTCAGTGGGCCCCGATCTGTCCCTCATCCGGGCACTCAGTGGGCCCCGATCTGTCCCTCATCCGGGCACTCAGTGGGCCCCGATCTGTCCCTCATCCGGGCACTCAGTGGGCCCCGATCTGTCCCTCATCCGGGCACTCAGTGGGCCCCGATCTGTCCCTCATCCGGGCACTCAGTGGGCCCCGATCTGTCCCTCATCCGGGCACTCAGTGGGCCCCGATCTGTCCCTCATCCGGGCACTCAGTGGGCCCCGATCTGTCCCTCATCCGGGCACTCAGTGGGCCCCGATCTGTCCCTCATCCGGGCACTCAGTGGGCCCCGATCTGTCCCTCATCCGGGCACTCAGTGGGCCCCGATCTGTCCCTCATCCGGGCACTCAGTGGGCCCCGATCTGTCCCTCATCCGGGCACTCAGTGGGCCCCGATCTGTCCCTCATCCGGGCACTCAGTGGGCCCCGATCTGTCCCTCATCCGGGCACTCAGTGGGCCCCGATCTGTCCCTCATCCGGGCACTCAGTGGGCCCCGATCTGTCCCTCATCCGGGCACTCAGTGGGCCCCGATCTGTCCCTCATCCGGGCACTCAGTGGGCCCCGATCTGTCCCTCATCCGGGCACTCAGTGGGCCCCGATCTGTCCCTCATCCGGGCACTCAGTGGGCCCCGATCTGTCCCTCATCCGGGCACTCAGTGGGCCCCGATCTGTCCCTCATCCGGGCACTCAGTGGGCCCCGATCTGTCCCTCATCCGGGCACTCAGTGGGCCCCGATCTGTCCCTCATCCGGGCACTCAGTGGGCCCCGATCTGTCCCTCATCCGGGCACTCAGTGGGCCCCGATCTGTCCCTCATCCGGGCACTCAGTGGGCCCCGATCTGTCCCTCATCCGGGCACTCAGTGGGCCCCGATCTGTCCCTCATCCGGGCACTCAGTGGGCCCCGATCTGTCCCTCATCCGGGCACTCAGTGGGCCCCGATCTGTCCCTCATCCGGGCACTCAGTGGGCCCCGATCTGTCCCTCATCCGGGCACTCAGTGGGCCCCGATCTGTCCCTCATCCGGGCACTCAGTGGGCCCCGATCTGTCCCTCATCCGGGCACTCAGTGGGCCCCGATCTGTCCCTCATCCGGGCACTCAGTGGGCCCCGATCTGTCCCTCATCCGGGCACTCAGTGGGCCCCGATCTGTCCCTCATCCGGGCACTCAGTGGGCCCCGATCTGTCCCTCATCCGGGCACTCAGTGGGCCCCGATCTGTCCCTCATCCGGGCACTCAGTGGGCCCCGATCTGTCCCTCATCCGGGCACTCAGTGGGCCCCGATCTGTCCCTCATCCGGGCACTCAGTGGGCCCCGATCTGTCCCTCATCCGGGCACTCAGTGGGCCCCGATCTGTCCCTCATCCGGGCACTCAGTGGGCCCCGATCTGTCCCTCATCCGGGCACTCAGTGGGCCCCGATCTGTCCCTCATCCGGGCACTCAGTGGGCCCCGATCTGTCCCTCATCCGGGCACTCAGTGGGCCCCGATCTGTCCCTCATCCGGGCACTCAGTGGGCCCCGATCTGTCCCTCATCCGGGCACTCAGTGGGCCCCGATCTGTCCCTCATCCGGGCACTCAGTGGGCCCCGATCTGTCCCTCATCCGGGCACTCAGTGGGCCCCGATCTGTCCCTCATCCGGGCACTCAGTGGGCCCCGATCTGTCCCTCATCCGGGCACTCAGTGGGCCCCGATCTGTCCCTCATCCGGGCACTCAGTGGGCCCCGATCTGTCCCTCATCCGGGCACTCAGTGGGCCCCGATCTGTCCCTCATCCGGGCACTCAGTGGGCCCCGATCTGTCCCTCATCCGGGCACTCAGTGGGCCCCGATCTGTCCCTCATCCGGGCACTCAGTGGGCCCCGATCTGTCCCTCATCCGGGCACTCAGTGGGCCCCGATCTGTCCCTCATCCGGGCACTCAGTGGGCCCCGATCTGTCCCTCATCCGGGCACTCAGTGGGCCCCGATCTGTCCCTCATCCGGGCACTCAGTGGGCCCCGATCTGTCCCTCATCCGGGCACTCAGTGGGCCCCGATCTGTCCCTCATCCGGGCACTCAGTGGGCCCCGATCTGTCCCTCATCCGGGCACTCAGTGGGCCCCGATCTGTCCCTCATCCGGGCACTCAGTGGGCCCCGATCTGTCCCTCATCCGGGCACTCAGTGGGCCCCGATCTGTCCCTCATCCGGGCACTCAGTGGGCCCCGATCTGTCCCTCATCCGGGCACTCAGTGGGCCCCGATCTGTCCCTCATCCGGGCACTCAGTGGGCCCCGATCTGTCCCTCATCCGGGCACTCAGTGGGCCCCGATCTGTCCCTCATCCGGGCACTCAGTGGGCCCCGATCTGTCCCTCATCCGGGCACTCAGTGGGCCCCGATCTGTCCCTCATCCGGGCACTCAGTGGGCCCCGATCTGTCCCTCATCCGGGCACTCAGTGGGCCCCGATCTGTCCCTCATCCGGGCACTCAGTGGGCCCCGATCTGTCCCTCATCCGGGCACTCAGTGGGCCCCGATCTGTCCCTCATCCGGGCACTCAGTGGGCCCCGATCTGTCCCTCATCCGGGCACTCAGTGGGCCCCGATCTGTCCCTCATCCGGGCACTCAGTGGGCCCCGATCTGTCCCTCATCCGGGCACTCAGTGGGCCCCGATCTGTCCCTCATCCGGGCACTCAGTGGGCCCCGATCTGTCCCTCATCCGGGCACTCAGTGGGCCCCGATCTGTCCCTCATCCGGGCACTCAGTGGGCCCCGATCTGTCCCTCATCCGGGCACTCAGTGGGCCCCGATCTGTCCCTCATCCGGGCACTCAGTGGGCCCCGATCTGTCCCTCATCCGGGCACTCAGTGGGCCCCGATCTGTCCCTCATCCGGGCACTCAGTGGGCCCCGATCTGTCCCTCATCCGGGCACTCAGTGGGCCCCGATCTGTCCCTCATCCGGGCACTCAGTGGGCCCCGATCTGTCCCTCATCCGGGCACTCAGTGGGCCCCGATCTGTCCCTCATCCGGGCACTCAGTGGGCCCCGATCTGTCCCTCATCCGGGCACTCAGTGGGCCCCGATCTGTCCCTCATCCGGGCACTCAGTGGGCCCCGATCTGTCCCTCATCCGGGCACTCAGTGGGCCCCGATCTGTCCCTCATCCGGGCACTCAGTGGGCCCCGATCTGTCCCTCATCCGGGCACTCAGTGGGCCCCGATCTGTCCCTCATCCGGGCACTCAGTGGGCCCCGATCTGTCCCTCATCCGGGCACTCAGTGGGCCCCGATCTGTCCCTCATCCGGGCACTCAGTGGGCCCCGATCTGTCCCTCATCCGGGCACTCAGTGGGCCCCGATCTGTCCCTCATCCGGGCACTCAGTGGGCCCCGATCTGTCCCTCATCCGGGCACTCAGTGGGCCCCGATCTGTCCCTCATCCGGGCACTCAGTGGGCCCCGATCTGTCCCTCATCCGGGCACTCAGTGGGCCCCGATCTGTCCCTCATCCGGGCACTCAGTGGGCCCCGATCTGTCCCTCATCCGGGCACTCAGTGGGCCCCGATCTGTCCCTCATCCGGGCACTCAGTGGGCCCCGATCTGTCCCTCATCCGGGCACTCAGTGGGCCCCGATCTGTCCCTCATCCGGGCACTCAGTGGGCCCCGATCTGTCCCTCATCCGGGCACTCAGTGGGCCCCGATCTGTCCCTCATCCGGGCACTCAGTGGGCCCCGATCTGTCCCTCATCCGGGCACTCAGTGGGCCCCCTTCTGTCCTCCATGCGGGCACTCAGTGAGTGTCTGCGGTGCCTCTCTCTCCGGACTTAGAGGCTTTACGGGAGAAGATGGCGGCGCTCACATATCAGCTGCCGATGGGCCGGGAGATAACCGGATTACAGATGGAGAGGAGGAAATAATCCGGCAGAGCATTAGGTAAATAAGCCCGGGATATACAGGCATGTACACGTGTGATCCGTGGAGATCACAGCACAACATACAAAGGATTTCACCCATGTCATCGCAGCTGCAGACTACAGTGGACAGTCCCGCAGGGATTAAAGGGACACTCCATCCAACTTTTGCCATATACCCTGCAGTCTGTCAGTGGTATTAACCTAATCATAGTTTTATTGCCTGCTGATCCTGCCAGGAGATCCATTATGTCCCCACATCCTCTAACAGGGTGACAACACTGTTCATTTTGCAGGGAAATAACACACCAGCGTTGTCACCCTGATGGACAGGTCACTTTAGATATCATTACAGGTTTATTCTCTCTCTCACCTTAATATCGCTTTGGTCCAGTCACAGCCGCATTTAAACGCATCGGCTCTACAAGAAAGAAAAAGCAGAACACGACAGTCATAGCTTCATTAAAACAGTGCTCTGTCAGCACCCATTAAAGTGTATGTAAGCAATGAACTTCTCTTATTTGCTCCCTTTTGTGGGGGCCTTTAAGATCGCATTTGGTGGGAGGAGCCAGCAGGCTCCTGTAAACGTCACAGCACTCTGCCTCGGATCTTCTTTCAAGAGTAGTATATGAAAGAACACATCCCCTGCGCCCCTTTAGACGTGCGTTCCTGCATGCCACAGGGTGCTGCAGGCTTTAGCTGTGCAATCTCCTGATCAGTGGTGCGCCCTCTAGTGGTGATGTGTGTATTACGTATGTTAGTGCTCCCTAGAGTGCTGGCCATACCGGAAGACTTGCAGGATCTCCCCCCGTCGCATGTCGATCAGATTGAGAGTGTCATCGCGTGAACAGCTGAGCAGCTGCGTCTGGTCCTGGCTAAGGCTGAGAGAGGTGATCTTCTCCTCCAGGGTCACCTCCCGAAAACACTGCTCCGACCTGCGCAAGGGAAGGGATGACAAGAACGTTTTACACATGTTTTTTTTATCTGTTACCCATCCCCCGCCCCCCCCCCCTATCTTTCCCACTTTCTGCTCCTCACCCCCAACCTCCTTTTCTTGTCCTCCACAACTCTA